TTTTGCGCATAAATTACTAATTTTTGATTTGAAATAATTTAGGGAAGTGTTGGTTACAGTATTATTATCAAGTGAGTATAATGAATATAATAATGCACTTTGTCTGATTTTAAAAAACCACCTTGAAGCAGTGCTAACAAATTATTTGTAAGGGATAGTTACCATCCACTTAGCATTGTTATTTGTAAGTAACAATATTCTTTTTTATTACTGTTTCAGAACAGTGAAAACCTCATTATAAAATCCTTTGTAAACTCGAACAAGTTCTTACAAACTCCATTGATAAATAATCAGAGAGCAAAGTTATACTTACAAAATATATATATATATATATATATATATATATATATATATATATATATATATATATATATATATATATATATATATATATATATATATATATATATATATATATATATATATATATATATATATATATATATATATATATATTGTAAGTATAATATATATATATTGTAAGTATAATATATATATATATTGTAAGTATATATATATATGTATATATGTATATATATATATATATATATATATATATATATATATATATATATATATATATATATATATATATATATATATATATATATATATATATATATATATATATAGTACATTATGATAACTTTATTCTTTTTATTCTTTATAATAACTTGGCGCTACTCGACTTTCTCCCCCCCCCCCCCCCTGTTTTTATGATTGATTTTTATAGAGTATATTATACTGATTCTAAATCATATAAAAACATAGGTCTGAAAACTTGAGGAAAGTACTCTAAACTGATGTTAAAGTATAAAAATCCACATTAAAAAACGCTAATATTTCACCATCTTTTTAAAAACATTTTAACACTGTTTTTAAAATTTAGGTAATTAATTTTTCAACTAACGACCCGGTTTTTATTGTTGTTTTTATATTTTATGATGTACATACATCAACTGACATATAGGAATAGGCGCAACTAAATGTACATGCATCGACTGACAAATAGGAATTGGCGCAACTAAATGTACATGTATCGACTGACAAATAGGAATTGGCGCAATTAAATATACATACATCGACTGACAAATAGGAATTGGCGTAAATAAATGTACATATCTACTGACAAATAGGAATTGGCGCAATTAAATGTACATGATTTTGGTCAGGGTTTAGTTGGGGCAGGAAATCAATAAAAAACGCGTTTTAAATTGAAGCGTCGATAGAAACCAGGGTTTTTCAAAGTTTTTATTGAAAAAGAATTTTATTATAACCGAGTATGACAAAGATGGCTAATATTAGCGTTTTTAATGTGGATTTTTATACTTTAACATATGTTAAAGTATAAAAATCCACCTATGTTTTTATATGATTTAGAATCAGTATAATATACTCTATAAAAATCAATCATAAAAACAGGGGGGGGGAGAAAGTCGAGTAGCGCCTAATAACTTTACTCTTTTTATTATAATTACTACATCTTTATTATTTTTTTAAGGCCTTAAGCCTGTAAATAAATTTAATGATTTATTGATTTATTAATCGCAAAAGGTAATTGACGGCAGTGCCGGCAAATAATTTTGAGATTAATTGCCGGCAGCGCGTTTAAAGAAATAATTTGAATGTATTAATTACAATGATTTGGTTAATTTCTTAGTTTTGTTGTTAGAAAAACAATTTAAATTATGTATTTATTTATTTTAATATATTTATTTATTTAGTTTACTTTTATAACTTTTTTTTACGCTTGTATTAAAAAAATGAAGACTTTTTTTTTAATTATATACTGCCTGCCCAAACCAAAACCCTCAGTCAATCTATGTACAGGTCAAAGTCAGTCGGTGGTATGTATATTTTACTTTGCCCATCCCTTTTCAAGTCAGTCTTTAATTTTAGACTTTTCTGTACTTATACCTAAATCAGTCGTAAGCATACACTGTTTCGCCTATGGCTATGCCAGTTGTTGTATGTACACTTTGAGGCACCTATTAAACTTAAATCTAATACATGGAAATTATCAATAAACAAAAATTAACAAACACTAATGGTGGGTAATACTAATTAAAATTAGTACTGTTTGAAATAAAACATAAATTTTCACGAAAAAATAAAGCTTACCAATTTACTTCGAACTCGGGTGGCCACCTTGAGATGACACTATCACATCCACTAAGCTACGCATACATTTTACGAATCGCATTTTTTAACTTTATATTTTGAATTATACTGCCGGCAATTAATCAGTTTTATCAATTAATCAGAATTATTTGCCGGCACTGCCGGCAATTACATTTAGCGTAAATTTAATTAAAAAAATATATTAACTTGATAATTAAGTTGCGACATTAAATTGTACTTGTAAATAACATTAAAGGAAAGTTTAACTTTACAAATTTTGTATGGAAAATCTTACTTTTACTGCTTTAAAAAAAGAGGCTTTTATAATAATAAAAAAAATGTATTGCTTTAGTTACAAATTATGAAAATTAATTCAACT